AAAAAAAATTCTGGAGCTGAAAAATACAATTGAAATGAAAAATTCGCTAGAGGGAACCATAGGCAGATTTGAGGAGGCACAAGAAAGAATCAGTGGACTTTGAGATAGGACAATCAAAATTAATGGGTCTGAAGAACAGAAAAATAAAAGGTTGAAAGTGAACAGAGCCTAAAAGACCTGTGGGAAACCATCAAGCAGACCAACAAACTCATTGTGGCAGTCTCAGCAGGAGAAGAGAGAGAAAAAGGAGCAGAAAGAATATTTGAAGAAATAATAGCTGAAAACTTCCCAAATTTGATGTAAGTCATGACTATAAACATCCAAGAAGCACAACAAACTCTAAGATGAACTCAGAGAGACCCACCTGAAGCACATTTTAATCAAAATTTTTGAAAGACANTCTAAGATGAACTCAGAGAGACCCACCTGAAGCACATTTTAATCAAAATTTTTGAAAGACATAGAATCTTGAAAGCAGCAAGAGAGAAGTGACTTATATACAAGGGATCCTCAATAAGATTATCAGTAGATACCTCATCAGAACTTTGACATCCAGAAGGTAGTGGGCCCATATATTCAAAGTGCTAACAGAAAAAACTGTTAACCAACAGTCCTATATCTGGCAAATCTATCCTTCAACAGTGAGGGAGAAATTAACATATTCATAGGTAAGCAAAAGCTGAGGGAGTTTATTACCACTAGATTTGCCCTGCAAGAATGCTCAAGAGAGTCCTGAAGGGTGAAATAAAAGGACTGTATGAAGAAATAAAGACCTCAATAAAGGTAAATACATGGGCAATTATAAAAGCTAACACTATTATAACAACAGTTTGGAACTGCACTTTTTGTTTTCTATATGATTTAAGAAACTTAATACATTTTTTTAAAATTGTTAGTCTAAAAGCTAGTATTGTAACTTTGGTTTGTATCTACTTATTTAGTTTTCTACATAATTTAAGAGATTAGTGCATTTAAAATAGTTATTAGTTTATGTTTTGGGGTACACATGAATAAAGAGGTAATTTTGTGAAATCAGTAACCAAAAGGAGTCAGAATGGAGCTGTAAGGGAGCAGAGTTTTTGTATGGCATTGAAGTTAAGCTGGTATAAATCCAATTGATAGTGCTATAACTTTAGTTTGTTAAATGTAATCTTCATGTGCTATGGTCTGAATATTTCTGTCCCCCCAAAATTCATATGTTGAAACCTAACCCCTAATGTGATAATAT